TTTTATTATTTTCAGCTGCCGTCGGGCGCCGTCTCAATCACTCAACAACGATCATTTACACTTTAACAACTTTTTCCAGGGACCACAAGGGAAGCTACTACGAGAGGCACTACGCTCCGGCAGCCACAGGTTTCATGGGGCCCATGGAGTCAGGCGATCCTGGCCATTCGACGGAAAGTTGGCGTGATGGTGGGTGCGTCTCTAAAGTAAAAGTGCACCGAAAAGGCCGGACCAACCCGACCGGTTCTCGTCACGCGACCCGGCCGGATTTGGAGGCCCCACCGCTGGGTTCGGTCCATTCATCGCTGTTCCCGACCAAGTACGGTGGACCAGAGGGCATTTACGACCGCGAAGGCCGGCTATTTTCCCCGCTAATCTCGGTGGACCGAGCTTTTGAGGTCCATTCATGGCTTTTTTCTATTTATTTTTATTTTCTTGAAATAGTTTAATTTAGAATATTTTGATTAAATTTTTAGCACAACCAATTTAAAATTTTATACTTGTTAATTTTTTATGATATTTAATCTATTAATTATATGTACATATCTTAATATTTTATTATATATTTCTTAAAAATTAATTTTTTAAAATTATTTAAATAATAAAATCATAGATTTTATCATATATATTATTTATTAAAAATTTAAGCTGATATAAATTATTTTCTATTTTTCATTTGCATCCACCTTATTGGCTTTTTTACATAAAATATATTGGCAATCCTATAATTTTATTTTGTTTTGCATACTGTCATATAAAATATGCATATATATATGTGTGTTTATGCATACACACATGATATTTATTACAAGAGTATATTCTTCTCTTTAATTGAAGAAGATAAGATTACAAGAATTTATTTAAAAATGAGCATATTATTTAATTAAATTAGAAATAGAAATAGAGTATTAAAAAAAATTAAAAAGAAGCAAATTAACCAAGCAGAATGACACATTCAATTGAATGCACCAAACTATTTAGCATATTTAGAATAAGCCAAACAGTTTGGAGCTTTCAATGGAGTGCACCATTCTATTTGGCGCATTCCATTGAATCCACCAAACTGTTTGGTGCATTACTACAATAATTTTAAATTTTAATTCAACTGACTATAGTGAATGCGCCAAATAATTTGACTATTTCTAAAGGACGAACCAACTCATTTGACTAATTCTAAATAATGCACCAAATGATTTGGCGCATTCTGAATGCACCAAATCATTCTTTAGAAACTAGGCATTTTTTTTAATACATGATCCTATTGCAAATTTAAATTAAATATCATGATCCTATTTATAATATTCTCATATTACAAAGTATATAATATGAGTTTGTAATTCTGTAAATATTGAAGAATGCTAAAGATGCAACACTTGAATGGTGTTGGTCAGATGACTTTGATCAGACAATTAATTATCTATTTATATTTCACTTATATTAATGTAAATTCAATAATATTTTAAAAATTCATTGAGTTGAAACTTCGATAAAAATATTCTGACTCAAAATATTTTGATGTATATGATGTATAGTTCTTCACCAAACCATTTCTTATATTTTTTAGATTTAATTATCTAAATAATAAGCATTAAAGGGTAATGGTACATCAATGGAAGAATTGAAGCTAGGAGAAGTTGAATGCATATTTACACAGAATGCCATAAAATTTATATTAAATTTTACATAATATATAATATTCTGGTGAAGTTTTTAATGTTCAAATAAAATAATTGAAAATGAATACAAAAGCAATGTTAGCAACACTTTTTTTTTTATTCGGAATATTTCTTTTTCTTTAGGCGAAAAATGAGCCTCTCGATGGTGATCGATCAAATTTTGCCACCTTTCAAATATTGCCATCAATATTCTCCTTTTCTTTTTAGACAAATATGTTTTATCTTTACAATTTTTTACTTTTTTTTTTTAATTTAATCTTTGTCATTGATATTCGTTCACATCTTTTCAAATAATAATTTTAAAAAAATTAATGGAGCGCCTTTCTTACAATTTGAACAAGTGAAGCAACCAATAAAATTTATATTGTTGTGTCTTATTTTTTCAATTTTCATGAAAAAAAAAATATATATTATTTTTTAGAATATGTGCCATTATTACTATAAACGCTTTAAAATTATTATATTGAAATTTAAAAATCCAAATCAAATATTTGGCTATTTCATCTCCAATTCAAGCTTTATTAAGAAAATATGTCATCATGACATTTTAATTTATTTTTTTTTCAAAATATATAGTGTATGTGTTTATATTTATGTTAATAATGCTTCATTAATACAACAATATCAAGCTTTTATCTAGCTATTGAGATCAGTTACATGTTTCTTTTTTCTCTATTGTGTCGTATTAAGAACCAAATTTTCATTTAAAACTAATCGTGCATTATTAGTAAATAAATTAATTAAAAAAATTCAATCTCAATTAAAATTTAACAAAAGCATCTATCATCATATTTAAGAAATAATAAATATTGGGGACATTTAGGCCAATTAAGTTAAACTCATAAACACATCACATATTTGAGACTTGAACTCAATACATCTTGATTGGTAGCCAAAGCTCCTGGCCAACGACCCAGGCAAGCTGCCTGAGGCAATAAATGTAGCAATGTAGTACTCGAACTCATAACACATTGATTGAAACAATTTAAATAATCCTAACAAGTCAGATCAGGTTCAAACGCTCATCCCGCACACACAATATATATATACACACAAGATTGAACCAAATTAATATACAAGATTGAACCAAATTAATATAACCATTGGGGCACATAACTTAACCTCCATGCATTGAGATTCGTGCTCTCACGCTTTATTCTGTTACTCTTTTCCTTTGTGCATTTAACTCTCTCGTAAAAGATTGGTTAAACATTTTCTTTTCTTTTGAAGATAAAATTAAAGAGGAGAAAAAAAGTTTAGAAGAATTGGAACAGAATAGAATCGAAACGAGAAAGCAAAAGAGAGGGAAGAGAGTGGCCCTCTCCTTCAATGGAGAGTATTGGAGAAGCTCAGAGCCGCATTCCTTTACGAAGTATGACATTCGTTTATTTCAGCATATTTTATTACTACAATTGTTGACTAATTGAACGCCATAGCATGTGATGCTACTTTCCATTACACGGGTCAATGGGCGGGCCTATCGAGCTGATATTGTTGGCCAAATTTTTCGATCTAATTTCATCTTATAAGGTCTATATGATTAAAAAATAATTAAATGTTGAATTTATTTTAAAAATAATATAATGTTAACTAACAACTATATTACACTTATCTTAAAATAAAACTCAGAACTTTGATTTATATTCTCATCAACAATATTTTCTTATAACTAAATAGTTAAATAATTTATTAAAAAATGACATATCTTTTAAAATAGTTTTGAAATTTTAATCCACTAAAATTATTAAATTTATAGAATTTATTAAATTTATTTGAGTTCAATCCTATTCATAGCCAAACGGCTTCTATTGATAATACTAATGAAAGTTCGAAAATGAATTTTTGTGGGCCTCCAATGAGCAGAGAACATGTGATTTTGAGTGCTCGCCTTTTCTATCTGGCTTCGGGTAACAAGCACATAATAAATAATAAGTAGGAGATAATAGCTATATATTTTTGTACAATTTCATACGATTTTATATGAAAAGTAAGGACCTAGAGGTAATTTCTAATTATAAACTTTCAAATAATTCGGATCTTCAAACTTTGATTTCAATAAACTTATAGTCGAATTGAACATTTCAATAAACTTTGAATTACGTACATGTGTTTATTTTGAGGCTTTTGCCTTGAAGGTTTTTGGACAATTCAAAACCTTTTGTGATTTTTACCTACTAAGAGTTTTGAATGAGTGGAGGCTCCATCAAACTTTTAGTAAGAACTTTGTCGACTACTAGCTTCCCATTGAGGCCGCCTTGTGGGTGTTTCTTTCCGGGGTAACTTGCACTCATGGGGTCTTTCTAGTGAGGATTTTATTCACTGCTAGCTTCCCCTCGAGACTACCTCTTGGAAATGCCTTCATGGGGTCGTTATTCTGAGTACTGCTTGATTGCATTGAATAGTATAAAAGAGATTTAGAGAAATCCATGAAGAATGTTTGACATATCCGAGATTTTTTTCAGTGCATTGCTCAATGACATTAACTTGTGTGAAAGATGTCGAAAGAAATCATCAAAGATGTTTGACCTATCCGAGGTTATTTATTAGAGTATTGACCACTCATATTTTGTTATTCTTAATTAAAAGAATGATTATGAGCTATTGAAGAAGTATGTTGGGAGTGTTTTCACAAATGGTGCTAAACTATTGCATACTAAAAGATTTGAGTTGTAGAGTTTATATTTTACGTCTCAGCGTTATACAAAGCTGTTTGACTGGAAAGTCTCGCAGCTTATTCAGAATGGCAATTGGCATATTCCTAACTGTATTGACAGTCAACTTGTCACCCTCATTAATCTGGTTAGCATCGACTCCTCGCAGGAAAATCATTTTTGGAAGGATACTCAATACCCAAAATTTGCTGATTTTAACATGCAGTTATTTATTGGCATGCATAAAGTCCCCTGGTTCGATTTCATTTGGCATAAAAAGGCAACTATTTGTTATTCTGCTTACGCTTGGCTGGCCTTTAGGGGTGGGTTAAAAACTGCTGATGTGCTTGCTACCCGTGGTATCATAGTTCCTAATAGATGTTGTTTCTGCAATGATGAACTCGAAACTACTACTCATCTATTTTTTGAATGTGGCTATACCTTCAGCATTTTTGTTCATAAATTGTCAAAATAATTTCTATTATAGAGGATAAATTATTTTGTGTGGACATTAGAATATTCAGAGGTAAATCAGAATGCGTCACATTACTTGATACACCGTATTTATACACAAAAAAAAAGTTGACATGACGCATCCTGATTCGCCTCCGAACAGCATCGGGCGTCCGCACAGAATAATTTTTCATTGCAAAGTGCAAGATTAGTATAAGAGTAACGAGGATGATACAAAATATTTCCATAAAAAATCAAACGGTAGCTACAAAGTGAACTTCCATAATTTCTCTTTTCAAGCCTATGAAATTAATTATAAATATCCAATGTTAACTCCTATCAATGGCTTAAATAGATATCGCACAAACTAATCACAAATCTCCACTTCTTCCTCAGTATAATCCTGGCTGGGCTTGTAACTGTAACTGTAACTTGATCTCTTTGTCCAACATCTCTAAATATTTAACTGTGAGATCTTCAGAGGTAAGAGCGAGAGCAACTACTTCAGCATTAACTTCTCCAGTTTCATCAGTGACTGATTTAGCTAAGTTCTGATGATCTTTCTTTCTTCTTGGAACTCTTCTTTTGGGCCATTTCTTCTTGAATTTAGTCTTCTTCGGCTTCAATGGCTTAGCTGATTCAGGTTGTGGCTGCTCGGTTTCTTTTCCTTTCTTTTTGCCGGGAAGCACAGTATACGGGGAAGCGCCGTGGGCGCCAGCCAAAGATGCACCTGCAAGGCAAAAGTGAAAACACAGCTAATCACATCTTTGAAAAAAAAAAAAGATGCGGAGGCTATTTAGTGCTCTAAATTCTCTCCCAGTTCCTGATCAACTAATGCTTTCGTTTGGGACGGCTTTCTTATTGCTTCTTAAAGCAGCTTTCTAGTATAAAAATTCTATTTGTTGTGCTAAAAAACTGCTTTAAGAAGCAGTAAGAAAGCAGTCCCAAACGAAGCCTAATAGTTGCACTTAAGCAACGTTTCAGTAATCTCTTTGACCACAGATGAGCACACTTTGTATGAAAATGAGAAACGAAATTTCATTTAAGTGGTGCCATTTCTTTTGAAGCATAAAGGGCAGACAATAACAAAATCAATAAATTGGATTAAAATGATTTATAAGTCCAAATAAAACTCCAATACTTAAAGTATTATAAGCACAATACACATAGAGAAGGATCCAAAGACTGACTATTAGTAGGAGAAAGAAACAATATTGCATACTCTGAATTGCTAGAAGAGCAGTTCGTGCAGCTTTAATTTCTGCTTCCTTCTTTGTTTTAGCAGCAGCACCAATATATTGGATTCCATGAATCTCAACGGTACAGATGAAGCTATTGGTTCCTGAGGCCTGCCTAGTGCAGCTGTATAACGGGATTGCATAGTTCATCTTCTGAGCATATTCTTGAAGCAAGTTCTTACATAGACCAGTTTCATGCTGGGAACAGTATTTTAAGAGGATTAGGAAAAAAAAAACATAAGAAAAAACAACCTCGACTCATTCTATACCAGTTTGTAACAATAATATAACTGTGCAAAATTATAGGAGTGAGTTGTTCACCAATTCAGCATTATCATATCTACCAGTGATGTGTAAAATAAACATGTACAAAGTATATCAACTCAATTAAGTGATATGCTAAATTAGAGCTACAAACTAACTGAGTTGAACCAAGCATGTGCTTATTCATGTTTGAGCTTGTTTATCATCAGCTTGTTCGAGCTCAATTCGAGCTTTTCTATTTGTGTTTAAGCTTGGTTCGTTTAAAATGATAGATGTTCATTTTTGGATTGTGTTTGATTCATTTTGTAATATCGAGTCTTAAATAAACGAGCATTATCAAACTATTAATGAGCTTTATTTTATAGATGTTTATTAGCTAACAAACGAGCTTTATCGAGCCTAATAACAAACAATTACCATAGAGTCTATTATGGAACATACGAGCATGTTTTTTTTTAATATATTTATACGAGCCTGTTGACAAACATATTTAGTAAATATTTTCAAGCTACCAAACAAGCAAGCTCAGAAAATTATTCTTCTTATAAACAAACTTGTTCATGAATACTTTAAACAAAAAGTTTAGCAAACATGAACAAATTCATTTTAATGAAAGAGTATAACATAAAAATAAATTAATTTTTTATAAAAATAAAAATTATTTATTATAATAAACTAAAAATTATGTAAAAATCTACAAAATATAAATTTAAGCTAATCTTAAGAATTTAATTTAGTTCTAAACATATCTTATAAGCAAGCTTGTTCACAATCTCTTAATCGAACACGAATCAAGTTAAATAAAAATGCAAATATGCATTCATATTCATATACATTTTGATATAATATTGAGCAAAGCTCAATTCGATCAAGGCCTAGCACAATCCAAGAATGCTTCCAAATCAAAATTGGCTTATTAGTCAGCTTGTTGATTTCAATACGAGCTCTTTTGATACAAGCACCTAAGGGTTTAAGGTTCCTAGTACAGCTAGAATGATGTTCTGAATGTGGATCACACAAAAAAGTAGTATTCATAGACCAAGGCCACAAAATACAAACCAAAAATCAATGAGAAATTTAAACAATAAAAATAACCGAGAAATTTGAACCCCTTAAAATCAATGAACAAATGAAATTTAACACCTCAATTGATCCTAGTTGTTGCCAATTTGATCAAAAATCAAGACATCAATTACCACTAGCAAATAATAGAAATAAAAGACATTACTAAAATGGAGATGATTTATGCCTCATGCCAATACAACGATATGACTTCTCACAAAATTAAGTAGTTGCACTTGTATAACACTCAAAAGAATCACACACATAGTAAGCATACACAAAGTTGAGAACTAGAATCTATTAAATAAAACTTACTTCCTTTACCAGTCTCAAACAATCAATTTATATATTTCACAATCATAAATCTATTAGATAAGATTGTTTCACAAATTAAAATTAAATCAAGATAAGTGCCCAAGAGCTTCCACATAAAGTGGTTTAAAGAAGCACTATCGTCTATCATGGCTAATAGCATGGAACGAAGGAAAAAAAAAAAGAACAAACTTGTAACAATTGTATTGCAAAAGGATAAAAGGAAGCCATAGTCAGCAATGGAGGAAACTTGCCGACAACAAAATGACATCACATAGTAAAATGACTAAAGGAAGCCGTAGTCAATAATATGTATGGGGTAAAGGAATCTCATAAAAAGTAGCATGAAACAACCAAAGGACAAAACAAGATTTCCTCTCATCCATATCCAATAATTTTAAAAACCATCCATATCTAGAGATTTATGCATAGTCTGTATTAAAAAATTAAACCATATTAAAACAAGAGAGCACTAGTTCCAAACCATCCAAAAACTTGAACTAATTGCCAGTTAAACCAACCCAAAATTATCAAGCCACATAGATCAACCCATCAATGTGGAATAAAAAATAGAGAACACATTTGATTCTCATCTGTATTAACCATAAGCTTGTACAAAATATAAAATCACACAATGAAATAAAATAAAATAAAATAACTCACTAATACTAAAATAAATCTGCTAGAATTTATTCTTTGATTGACATTTTTGCTAAGTGAAAACACGAAGATCACCATTAAATGAGCTCAACTTGGACAAATTCAATGCCAATGAATTTAGTATTTAGAATTACAAAGCAAATGAAGACTTAATTTTTTGTTCGCCAATGCATAGGTTATCTTTGAAACCCACCGTCAACACAGGAGACAATCTCATCATAAAAAATAGCTTCAATAACAAGCTATGTAGATTTTTCTAGCAAAGCAATGAATCAAATTCAGGAGTTAGAAAAAGGGAAGAATCCAAGGAGTTGGCAACATATGTTCGTGAAATAAGATAAAATCAAACATACTAAAATAAATAAATAAATACAAATAAATAGATAAAAATTAAATAATATCAACTAAAAATAAATATTATTCACAATATAAAAATTAATTAAAAAATCTATTTAAAAAGATATAGTGTATGTATCTGTGAACTTAACAACTTCAACTTTGTTATTTCATTTCTCACTTAGGAACTTTCGTTTAATATTGTTTATATAACTCTTTGTTTTCTGTTTATATAACTCTTTGTTTGCAAGAGTTAGGAACACACATGAGGTGGTGGACCCATGTGAAAAAGCTTAGTTTGCTCCTCTTTGGTAAATGATTATTATAAGAATTTAATGCTTATTGAAATGTTAAAAAAATAAATTTAAACTAATTTGTTATATTTAATATTTTATACAAAACTTATTAAATTAATTAATTTAATTATTTAAATGAGACAACAACTCAACCAATCGATTTAAGGAAATTGGTGGGACTGATTCTACAATTCGCCGGTCGAACTAACAATTATGACCGGTTCATTTCGATTTGATGCAGAGCCGGTGTTTAAGATGGACTATACCAATCATATGATTGGCCCACAGTTGAACTGATAGGTTCGGTCTAATTTCCAAAATCATGACTAAAGCATAAATCATACTCTCTTGCCCAAAAATGCATATTAGTAGGGGTCAATATTTGATCGATTTAGATGGATTGATTGATGGATTTCTTAAATTAATTGAAAACCAAAAAATGGGTAAAACTGAATCAACCAATCTATTAGTAGAACGGAACTAAACCGAACTGCATATAGTTCGATTTATCCAATTCAATTTTGGTTTAAATCAACTTTAATATCCTAATAAAGGAAGATAATTTAAAATATTATCTAAATAAAATGTAAACAAATAAACTTATATAAACATGAAAAATTACACTAGCTTTGACTATTTATTAATGAAATTTTGATTTTTCGTTAAAACTTTTTTTTTTAATTTTAAAGCTAAATCATTAACCATAATCCAAATAAGCCATACTCCCCAACTAAAAACTGTACCATCCTTTAGAAACAGATCAAAATTAACCAAATATGTTTGGTTTGATTTTTTGTTTTAAACCAACTAATGCACATTCCTACATATAGGTTCAAAATATGCAACTTTTCACTTAGAAGGACTAGATATTTTATGGACTGAAATTTACTCTTAGATTTTACAAGTTTTAGAACTATCCTTCTCCCATTATTCTTGAAGCGCAAGTATTAGACTTATTAGAATAAGTAACATCAACATCATATAACCAAAGTCAACTACAAATAATAGGAACATCATCCATGGACAACATTTCACACATAATTCTATTAATACAAGTAGCCAATTGGATGTGAACTAAACACCTAGAGGACGTAGAAATAATAATCCAAATCTATCTTATATGGACATCGAAGTATTGAATTTTCAAATAATGCAGCCTATGAAAAATGTGAATAAGATATTCATGCAACTCTCACTATTAATGACCAGTTTGCAAAATTTTCCTTGTATTCAAGTATGAAAAATTATAGTTTTCTTTCAATTAGACTTAATTTTTAAGTATAACTATAATGCAACGTATGACATTCAGAGAACTGTCAACAAATGAATCCTCAAAATCATTAATTTTCTCATCAAATTCAATGAAAATCACCACAATTAAAGATTGCATCATCTTCCTGCTCCATATTTATAAGCAAGTTTCAATAACAAAATAAAAAATCACATTTTAGGAATTTCAAGAGGAGAGAACAAGAATCCACTTCATGTTCATATGCACTTCATTAGTTTCTATAATTTTTATTGAATAAAAGATGCTCCCTTTACAATCCTCGAATTATCCATTCACATATCACAACCCTAGATCGGTAGATAAGATTGGTATAACATCATCCCATATAATGTCATATCATAAAATCTATGAAGGACAGTATACATAACAAAGCAAAAAATGTCAAGGGCGGAAGACAAACTTGAAGGAAACAAGGAGAGCTACAAGAAACAAGAAATCCATCCATTATAGCAGCTGTAACATTTCAGGAGCTAACTTCTTATTCTTTCACGGATGCCATAACTTATATAGTCCATAAATATTTATGGGGAAATGATATGATCATAATAGGCCCATCACTTAAAGCAGAAATAAGCTCTGAAACAAATATAAAATAGAATTTTTAACAGGAAAAAAAATTTTGAGAAGAATAAATTCTTGCACAACAGTACGACCATGCTGCACAGCAATAAATGAACAGATATTGAATTCAAGTAAATGCAAAATGTAACTAAAGAAACCGAAAGTTAAAAGCATGAAAAGCCATGAGAACACATAATTTTCATGAAATAATTAACAGAAGCTAAAAGCACGCAAACTTACAACTGTAGGAATGCTCTCTGTCATCTGGCCTGATTTAGTTAATTCCACTAGTGCAACCTCAGCAGCGGACTGTTCTGCAGCTTTCCGATTGAAAAATCCAGGCAAAGAATCATATTTGATATTGTTAACAATCACGGATGACCTGAAAACAGGTACATGTGAAGGACCTTCCATCAAAGTTTCATATACAGGAGTTGGAATGCCAACTTTCTGTGCATATTCTTGCAGCCTGCTTTTGAATACATAGCAATTTGCTACCACTAAGAACCAGAAAGAAAAGGAATATAAATTAGCACAAAACAAAAAAACATTCAATGGGATCTGAGCTATAGCAAAATTGCATGTACTAAAAAAATTAAACGATTCATAAAGCAGACCAACACAACAACAAGAAGGCCCATGAACTAATAACATGTAAACTATTACTAAGTAATTTCTATAAACTTCATGTCACGGCTTGATAACAAGGTTTTAAATCCATATCCAGCTGAAAGTTTTTTATTGTAAATCCCAAGGATACTTCAGTGAATAACTGAGAAGCATAGGCTAGTTGGCATGCTAATAACTTAATATAGCCCTAAAAAGGCTCAATCATCTGATGTTTAGTTGCAAGAAATAGAATCAAATTGTTAGAATTTGCCCAAAATCACTACTTCAAAAACTGTTTATATCATCTATATAGAATCATGCCAATTCAGAGAAGTTCAGAGCAAATCGTAAAACAAGTCAAGAATCAATATAGTAATCTAACATGTGGCAACTATATACAAGTTGAACAAAGTACTGCATAGCTATCCATTCATATAAATAATGGAGAAATATAAACAATCCATATGGTTGCATGCACAGTAATCCATAAAGAACATGAAATACATACTCACATCATTAAAATGCTTAACATATTTTTCAAATGCATCATTCACATACAATAACTCAACAACAAAACATAGAAATTGAACTCAAATAAAAGAAATACAATTGAATAAACTAACAATGGTCTCCTCTTATTTCTTAAATTAACTAACTTCGGCTATGCAGCCATGGAGAAACAAGCAAAGAAACTGAAAGATGCACCATACAAAGCATAGAGTGTTTCTACTCTTTGTCATTGATTAAGAGGGCGTTGTACTAGAACCTGCAATGTGAAGGGGACAAGTACCCTATACCAGATTACAATTCTAAGAAAATGACAAGCTGCCAATGTCCTTACTGAAGGGCATGGAATTCCATTTGACATAATGACAAAAACTAGAAGTTGCATGGATGTTATAAGGGATTTTTCTATCTTCAACGGTTAAATATTTCTGTGGCATGACTGAGTACAACAAAGAAAATAATACATTATCTTGAACGAAAAGATTATTATTTTGCTATAGACTCAACAATAAAATTGTATTTTATTTTTATATGCCTAAAAATATTTCCTACACGATGTATGAACTAAAAAGATTATTTTTATGCTAGGGAATAGTCTTCACATAAGGGTAAGCCTCTATGGTTAATTATCCCAAGAGTGTATATCCTTTGAAAACACTTTTCATTAATATAGATCATTCTTTAAGAATTTCTTTTCAAAAATTTGGTTTGCGAAATTTCAATAAGGATTTGATCAACTTAGAATTGATTCCAAGTAGAAATCAAAGGAGGATTTTCACATAAAGAAGAATAATTGATATATTATTCGCTTATTATGACCTCAACGTTATCAACAATTAATTGGTGGGTTACATATTTTGTTCCTCCATAAGCAAAGGCTAAAACTATTAATCATACATGCCTTTCCTGGCATAATGTGGAGGCCCTAGAATAGAATATCTACAAGACCACTTTCAATACTAAGAAATGGTAATATCCGGAACTTTCACCAGATCTCATCCGAGAAGCAATTAGCACAAGAGATACTGAATCTAGTACTCGGCCTATGCCCTACAGGTAAACAAAGATAGGACGTATTTATTTTGTTATAATATGTGTGGATCCTTTCTCAAGATCGTCGATGCATGTCTTTCTTAACATGATGAGGAGGTTCTTCTAGCCTATGTGTTATGCATAACACTTGTGCCCGCATTTCGTGGCATGGGATGGAAGTACCAAATTTAGCATCAAAATCTATCTACCAGTATGCCTTTCTTGGCTTAAATGGGATTGGCTCGTCTAACTTTTCATGCCAACTCCTTCATTAGGGTAATGTAGAATACCTATCAAATATTTTTTTTTTTTTCAAAAGCAATGATTAAACAAATTATCCCTTCATAAAAAAACGTATTTTTTTTTTTTTCAAAAGCAATAAAAATGTGAAACTAATGCGAAGATCACCAAGCCTTATGCTTCATTTAAATTACATTGTTTTTTAAATAAGAAAGAAGCAAAATTGACAAAACTCAATAACACATATAAACTCATATTTAGAAATCACAGAATAGCAACAAACAAAAAGATGAGCAATCCCAAGACTTCTGAATACAAGAAAATAACTTCCCTTGAAAATCTTCAATCTCCACTAAAATTGGGAGAAATGAGAAACCATGTAGGAAGATTTTGTTAGACCGGTCCAGCCGGTCCTGCAGGATCGACCCGTGAGACACAGAGGCAGAAACCTTCCGCCTCTAATTCCGCCAATCCCACCATAGGAGCTAAGGGAGCATGTTTGGAAGGTTTTTTTAGGAGGTTTAGGAGGGAAATTGAATGCAGGGACTGTTTAGAGATTTCCTTTTGAATTGTATGCATTAAATAATTTGTTTTCCTAGGGTTAGGGCATCTTGAATTTGACTAATTTTGGGATCTCTTAGGTTTAAGTTTTGGGCTCTAGATTCGTCTAGAGATTGGGAGAGATCGATCCTCCTCTCAAATAGAGGATCACTTGTATCTTGTTGTTTTCTTTCGCCAATCCCATCACAGGAGCTAAGGGACCATGTTTGGAAGGTTTTTTTCGGAGGTTTAGGAGAGAAATTGAATGCATGGACTGTTTAGAGATTTCCTTTTGAATTGTATGCATTAAATAATTTGTTTTCCTAGGGTTAGGGCATCTTGAATTTGACTAATTTTGGGATCTCTTAGGTTTAAGTTTTGGGCTCTAGATTCGTCTAGAGATTGGGAGAGATCGATCCTCCTCTCAAATAGAGGATCACTTGTATCTTGTTGTTTTCTTTCGATCTATTTGATTCTTGCAATAAAATTATTATTTTTCTGGCTTTCTATTGTAGTTTGGAAGAGTTTTCTTACTGTCTTTGTCTTTTTGCTAGGATTCACTTAAAATTTACAAGTGTTTCCTATCAAATTGATATCAGAGTAAGTCTTGGCACCATTCGTGGACTGTTTTTGGTGAATTCCAGCGGCTAATTTTTGGTCGGGAAAGGAGAAAGTTGTTGTTTTTGTAATTCAAATCCATAATTTTTGGATTTACAAAAATCTGGATCGAGATGGTGAAAACAGACTAGGTTTCATGATCATCACCACCGACACCAATGTCACTTTAAATGCACCTTATCATCATCATCAAGAAGAAAACACAATTTATAAAATTGGCTCATCGAGATAAAAGTAGTTCAATATCACTTGTCTTAGTTGTGTCTTGGCATGTTCCAACCGTGTTGGGGCCTTTCCACACTGTTCTAACTTAAAATTTGGCTAAAAAATACATAATACACAACTTTTAGCATGTATGGATATTAAAGACTTTTGAAGTATTTGTGATCAACATTTCTCAAGTCAAAAGTTGTTCCTACAAAAAAAAATTAAAGAACCAAATGAAATTTTAGATGAAAATCTACTTCAAAGTTGAAAAGTATGTACACAGAGTCCAATTTGCATATATAATAGTACTTAATATAAATGCATCTATGGAAGACTTCAATAAATGCTAACACAAAAAGTAGAAGTTCACTCAAAGACAGACATTGAAATGAATACAACAACAACAACATCATCAAGCCTTTATCCCATTACGTGGAATCGGCTATATGAATCATTTTTCTTCATTGTGTCCAGTTAAGAGTCAAATTCTCATTTAAATCTAAAAAAGAAAAAAAATCCTTTTTTCTTATGTCGGAATGAAGAGAAAGAAGATAGAAGATGCAAATGAAGCTCAAATCCAACAAAATAAGGCCATTTCAGATAAAACAGGTAAATAATCTACATATATACAAAGTTTTTTAATTCCACGTAGCACGGTGTCGGATTACCCAACTTAGGGATGTCAATTCAATTTGATGGTTCAGGTTTGGGTTTGACATGGAGTTAGATGAATCCAAACTTGCTTAACCTAAACTAACTCCTTTATTGTTAGGGTCAAACAGCTTGATCTAAGCCTAACTTGACTCGAATTGAATCTGCCTAAGAAAAACTTGACTAGCCTAACCCATTTATTATACAGATCATACAATTTTTAGATTAACACCAACAAATTAACCTGAATATGACATGTTTTACCTAATAATATATGTTTATTTTCACAACATATTTCTAGCTTTTCAAAACCCAAACCTAAATAACAATTCTGCCAATTTTGAATTAATTTCAGGATATTCGAGTCAACTTAAACTCAACTTGAATAATAAACAGGTCCACAAAATAGACCTGAATAATAATTAGCTCAACCCAAGCTTGAATTTTTTGAGCAGGACTCAGAATTACATTGAGATGTTGTATTCGGTCATTTATTGACACCCCAAACCCAACTTCACCCCACATTTACACAACACAAAGCAACATATGTAGAAGAATTCAACTAAGGGGTCATTTGATTTTTTGAAGAAAAAATGCCAAGTAAATGAAATACAATGTAAAATAAATGAAGAGTATTTGAAATGTTTTAGAATTATTTGTTTAAATGTTAAAAAAATAAAACAATGTACTTTTTAGTGTATGATTTGAAATAAAATGAATTCATTGTAAAGTCTAATGGCAGACGATAGTGATGGTGATGGGTGACAGGATGTGGCAATGATAGCAGCTATACACAATTTGTTTAGAAATCAACCAAATTGGCCGTTTTTTAATTCATAAAAAATAAACTGAGTGAATTTTCAAAAGTTTTAAAATTTAATTATGCATTACTTTTCATCACCCCAAACATTTGTATTTTTAAAACCCCTACATTTATAATAATTTACAAAAACCAAAATGAAGCAAACCAAATAGCCCCAAAGTACAAGGATGAAATACATCAAAATAAAGAAATAAAGAAGTTGTCCACAAGAAATTACCACCCAAGGAAGGTGATGAAGGATTCACATAATTGATGCCATTCTCTACTACATTATGACCATTGCTGCCACTCGACATCCTATTCTCAGATGAACGTGTCACCTGTGATGCATGAGGAGACCCCTCAGAGGTCAGTTGTGGATAAGTACATGCTGTCAAATTACTAACTGCCATAGCACGCCCACTGGGCCTGTAAGATGTCAACAATAACCTAACAAAATGAGTTAACTTGATAAATTTAAAATTAATTTAATAAATATAATATACTCACAAAATAATATGCTCATAATAACAAATATCCACAAAAAAATAAGCTCAAAGCATCTAAAATCCAATGGCATCTAAATAATATATCCACAAGAAATTAATTGAAAGCCTACCAACTATAAAAAATTATCTAACAAAAGACATAACAAACTTTTAAGTCAATAAATAACTTTACAATCTCAAATCACCTTCCCATGATGCCTAAGATATGAATATAGAAACTCTTCTCAATGATGCACAACCCTGAAAACCAAGAAATCAATAGATGTGATTTTGCCAGAAACAAATTCAATAATAATGCATGGAGCATGTAATTTGATCAATCAAATGGCGCATGTTAAGCAAGTCATATTATCATGAAAAAAAAAAATTATTGCATCGAACTAGACTAACATTATATGGCATGAAGCATTGGAGTGAATATGAAAAAAATGGTATAATGGAGTTTATAAACAAGAAAAATAGTCATTACATTTAAATGCTAACACACTCTTGGCTATTCATATATATATATGATTATACTTTACAATACAAGATTTATTTTTCATAATACCATAAAATAGGTTTCAACATCCTGATGGAATCCATTGCAGCTCCAAAAGAATTCAACCTGTGCAAGTTCATAGACAAGGCTAGCAATAATATCAATAGAATAGTACTACCAACAATCATATTCATCAAGCACACAAGCATGGCTTGTACTCATATTTTCACGAGTAAAGTGCAATAAAAAAAGTCTCTATGATTAGCATAAATAAATATTTATTTCTCATCAAAAAAGGCAATGTACATGAAAAAAAATTATCCTAACACATGATTCATTTCCAAGGGTTTATGTCACAATTAACATGATAATGTTAATTAAGCATCACATATATCAATATGAACATCAAATCACTATGAATGATATAGCAAGATTGACAATATATTAACAAAGAAAAGAAATCAATAACAAGTATCAAGAAAAACATCGCTAACAAGAAAGAGTATTCATTCCTCAACAAGTAGAAGTCATCCACCTGAAGTAGACTACAAGAGGCCAGACGTATTAATCATGACTCCAGCCTATTCCCCCTCTAACACGTAGTGTTTGATACACCCTAGATTCAAGAAAGTTAATGTCAAACATACACTCGATACAATGCAGAAGAAGTGCTACATAATCATAACAAATAATTCAAGATATTCTTGTAACTAAGAATTTCTAAGGATTTTCCTTAACAAATATTCGTAATTAATTTCAAAATACCATGTATAATTTTCTTCATTAATATAATTTTTTTTCTTAAAATATACTTAAGCATAGTAAATTAATATAAAATCACCAAGCTATGAATAATTCCTAATGCTAAATATTAATTTCATAGATTTGCCAATATAACTCATTATATCAAAATGATTTTAGACAAACAATAAACATGAGACCGCTGAAAAATTAGGAAACTTTCATACTAATCTTATATTAAGTATTGCTTTGCGTAAGTTATTTCTATAAAATCACCCAAATTCAGGCTACATAATCCATTCAAAGGGGAATTTATCTAGGACATACTTCAAAATATTTTTACCCACGAGAAACCTGTAGTTCATCATTCAAATCAAAACATAAGAAAAATTATTTAAGATTCAGATTCTCCCGTCTCAGGGTTTTGCTTATGTTGATTAAAAAATATCCCATCAACGAACCCATAACGCTTCTTAACTAAAGCTAGTTGAAGTTTCCTCCTATGGACGAGGACTTCCATCCCTATGGGGCTGTTTGCAATCCTATTTTAAGCAGGAATTAAAAAAGATTTAGCTTAAATCTCTTTCTCTGAAGAACGAATCCACGCGATGGAGGTCACGAGGCAGACAGCAACCAACCGTAACCCAAAGAGAGAAGAAAATGAGCTAAGAGGAACTAGGCATCGCACCTTCTTCGATTTATTATTCCTCGAGCTCATCAGCAGCAACGCCTATCTCCTCATCCTCGGCAATGATCTACCACTTGCTCCATCTCTTTCTTCGTCGAACTTTCTCCTTCTCTCCCGTTCGCAGTCGTTCAGTCTCACTATAACTTTCCCTCTGGATCTCAGTTTCGCTTACTCCCTGTACCTGGATTCGGGATTAAGAAGGCAAGCCCGCAAGGTAGTGGAGAACAGCGAATCGGACTCATTCAACTGGACCTTCCCGATCCAGATTTTCTAAATCAAATGTTTCACTAAAAGGGAAGCCTGAACTTAAACTAGGGCTTTTTTAGAAAATTGGAACGACAAAGGATGAACGGATCAGCTATATAAATTATTTTCCTAAAAAAAAAAAACTATAAATTATTATTGCTTTTCCATTTTTATTTTTTTTTAAAGCGTACGCAAAAATATTGAAAACAATCTAAAATTTTAAAGCTGCTCATTTTTAGAGATATTGGAATTATATATTACCGTCTATTTGGGATATTAAAATTATTCATTATCATATAAATATTATTATAAGGTTAGAATACTATGTCTTAGCGTTGCATGATATCCAGCTCACACACAGATAACATAAGATTTTTACGTGAAAAGCCCTGAAAAAAGGGAAAACCACGTTGATAATAATTCCAATAGAACTTGAGTTGGTTACAATGGGCTTCGCCTGCAAGGGCGATCATATTACAAGTAATAATTGTACGACAGAAGTCCGGGTGTCAGGTGATGATCCAGCAGAACTCCGGGCTTCAGATGGTGGTCTGGCAGAACTCTGGGCCTCAAGTTGTCGTTCGGTGAAGGCGAGGGCCTCAAGTGGTGGTCTCGCGAAGGTGAGAGCCTCACGTGGTGGTCCGACGAAGGTGTAATATCAGTTTTTGCTCCAGGTTCGTCCGGACGAAGTCGGATCATCCGGGACGATCGGTACAGGTTGTGTTTTTGCTCCAGGTTCGTCCGGACGAAGTCGGATCGTCCGGGACGATCGGTACAGGTTGTGCAGAGAAGGCCTCAAGTGGTGGTCTCGCGAAGGTGAGGGCCTCACGTGGTGGTCCGACAAAGGTGAGGACGTAAAGTGGTGGTCCGGGGAAGGAGAGAGCCTCAAGTGGTGGTCCAGCGAAGGTGAGGGCCTCAGGTGGTGGTTCGGCGAAACTCTGGCGGTGGTCCGGCGAAGCTCCCGCGGTGGTCGAGGAGAAGCTTCTTCCTTCTCTTCTTCTTTCTCTTCTCTTCTTATCTTCTTGCTTGGATCCCTCTTCAAGAGAAATGAGGGGTCTATTTATAAATTTGTTGAGTGACATGGCCCATATATAGGTGAGAGATCAAGGGTAAATGAGGAGTGGTTGGATGGACGGCCGATATTGAATTCATTG